AAGAAGACTACACCCACTCATTTGCTTCTATTGTTATTGCTATTTTGATTCTATTGTTTTAGTTTTTTTAATCTTCATTTTGGTATTTTATTTCGGTTAATCTTAGCTTCTGGAGAAAGGGTCAAATACGAAAATAGCAGATGTGAAACCCAACCAGAAGTCCCTCATTTTGGTTTCTGGTGTTCCCTTTGTCTTGCCAAATGCAAAGCTAATTTATAGGAGCCCGCTTAATATGTAAAGAAAATGATCTGGAGCAAATGATATGTCAGGGCTTATCACACACATTCAAGGGTGGCTCTGAAACATAAACCCTTTACTCTCTGTTCTTTATTTTTAAGTGCGTGTGTGTGTGTGTGTGTGTGTGTGTGTGTGTGTGTGTGTGTGTGTGTGTGTGTGGTATCTAGGTGTGCATGTGAATTCAAGTGCCTGAGGAGGCCAGAAAAGTAAATCGGATCCCCTGAAGCAGGAATTGTGTGCAGTTGTTAGTCACATGGTGTGGGTGCTGGGAACTTGTGTCCTCTGCCTAAATTGGGAGTAGGGAATTCTTAAGTTCCATTGCCCTCCCTAACTCCCACCCTGCCCCCCCACCATTCTCAGAGACACAGGGTTACTATGTTTATGAGGAGGTTTCTAGAAAGACCTCTCTCAGAGGTAAGACAGCAGAAGGGAAGGGAGTGTAGGTGGGAAAGGAAAGGGCTCTGGGTTCACTGGATTCCTGTAGGCTCCACAAGGCTCTGGAATACCCTGTAAGCAGCCAGCAGCCTATGGGGTGTTCTCCAGGGGGCAGGAGTCAGGACTCCTGCTTGGTTAGGGGGCAGCCTCTATAGCAAGGTCTAGCCTTCTCTGCTCTAGGCTTTTTTGGGCCTATGGTAGGCAGCTTCTGACTGGAGTCGGGGCCATGCTCTAGGGTTTTCTTTTTTTGTATCTTCAATCTTGGCCTGGCTTTGACTTCTTACACTATTATTTCACAGTCTTCTTGTTCCCTAAAATGAGTTGTGTTGGCTGTTTGGCCCTCCACTCCTCAGCTATAGAATGGGCTAAGAATCTGTTTTACTTCATCAGAGTGTGAGGATCCAGCGGATTTCTGCACTGTAGTTTTGCTCAGCACTGCTATTCAGTTCCATTAGCCAACATACACGATGTTACCTCACACTCGTAAGAGCACTCACCACAGCATGGCGGTGGTGGTGCACGTCTTTAATCCCAGCACTTGGGAGGCAGAGTCAGGCAGATCTCTGTGAGTCTGAGGCAAGCCTCATCTACAAAGTGAGTTCCAGGACGGACAGAGAGACTCTCAAAAAGCAAAAACAAAACCACACATATCTCACCCAATGCTCACGGAGGTGGGTGGAGACAAAGGTTCATTCTAGAAACAAGTAAGACTTTGGTGTTCTGGTTGTTTTTTGTCAGCTCTGCACAAACTAGAAGAAACGTTAATGGAGAAAATTTCTCCTCCAGATTGGCCTGTAGGCACATCCTTGAGACATTACCTTGATTAATGATTGATGTGGTCTGGGCCCCTGTAGGTGAACCACCGCTGGGCAGATGGTCCTGTGTTGTATAAAAATAGCATCCTGAGAGAGCTATGGAAGCAAGCCAGTAAGCAGCTTTCCTTCATGGTCTCCGCATCAGTCCCTGCTCTGACTTCCCTTCATGATGGACTATAAACTATAAAATACTATAATCCAAATAAACCCTGCCCAAGTTGCTTTTGGTCATGGTATTTTATCACAGCAATAGAAACCTAACTAGGACAATAAGTGATGTTCACTTGAAATATCATATGAAACACATGTGCATTTTAAATATTCAAGTAGGCATATTGAAAGTACAAAAACAAGTTAGTTAACTTTAGTATATGCTTTATTTGACCCCATATAATCGAAGTATTAGCATTTCAAAGTGTGCCTGTGTGCTGGAGCTCACGGTCGCTCTCTCTGCTTTCCATCGTTGGGGTCTAAGCTCAAACGTCACCATCACCTTGGGTATGCAGCATAGTCACTCCTTCCTCTCTGCTCAAACACACTTCTTCATCATGTAGTCACCATTTTCTTTTCTACACATCATTTGTCACTCGGTGAAATTCTTTATCGTGTCTTTCTCTGCTTTGGTTTGCCTTCTTTTGCTGTGATAAATGCCATGACCAAAGGCAACTCGACAGGGAAAGGGTTTATTTTGTCTCACAGCTTATAGTCCACCTTATGGGACACTCAGAGCAGGAACCTGGGGCCAGGAACTGAAGCAGAGGCCATGAAGAAGTGCTGCTTACCGGATTGCTCAGCCTGCTATCTTACACAACCCAGGACCACCGGCCCAGGATAGCATCACACACAGGGGCTGGGCCTTCCCATATCAATCATTGATCAAGGAAATGCCCCCATAGACTTGCCTACAGGCCTGTTTGACGAAGCATTTTCTTAACTGAAATTCCTTTTTTCCAAGATGACCCTGGCTTGTAGCCAATACTCTTCCTGTTGGAACCTAAACTCTGAGACTTTGAGTTTGGTCTTCAGCACACATCATAGTCCCTGATGCCTTGTTAGGACTCTCTCTCTCTCTCTCTCTCTCTCTCTCTCTCTCTCTCTCTCTCCCTCTCTCTCTCTCTCTCCTCTCTCTCTCTCCCTCTCTCTCTCACACACACACACACTCACAGAGAGAGAGAGAGAGAGAGAGAGAGAGAGAGAGAGAGAGAGAGAGAGAGAGAGAGAGAGTGTGTTGAGGGAATGGCTAACTTGGTAGTCCTTGTTGGAAGAAACAGTTTGACGTGATAGAGTCTTAGCTTCCAAGAATGAAAACCTCTAATCAGGGGAAAGGCTACTGCCCCACAAACAGCCAAAATCAGAGCTTTTTCTGCATGCTTCCAAATGAACCAAGCAAGTAGTTTTGCTTTCTATCAGCAAACAAAATTAGAGGCGTTAGAGTTTGCATGTTTCCTGTGACATTAAATTCTGGAGTCCCTATTAAGAAGTGTAATGTAAAAGAGCAAGGCCAGGCCTTCTTAGACCCTCAATCGAAGCTTCCAGTTGACACAAAGGCTGTATTCCTGGCAGTGATGTGGCATTTGTTTACTGAAAGCAACGTAAGTTCCCAGATGGCCAAAAATAGACAAGATCAACAGCATATCTACCTGTTCTGCACATAGCACTGCCCAATATCAATCATGAGGGCATCTCAGCATCATGGAATAATACTATAATTGAATAACCCCGAAGAAACCAGTACTCACAGGGACACGAAGACAGGTTCCTATAAATTCGATGATTAATTTTAGGCAATAACAAATGACTCAGCTTCTATACTCATGCCAAGGCTTATTAGCTCAACCCTCCCAGTCTCAATAACAGAGCTGTTAGATGCTCCTTAAGAGCCATTTATTTGCTGTATAGATTATCTGAAACTTGTGCCAACTCAAAGATTCCTTTCAAGAGTGAAGAAATGTGGATGAGGAGTTCAGGGTAATCCTTGGCTAAACAGTGTGTTTATGGCCAGCCTGGGAAGCGCAATACCCTGTCTCAAAGACAAACAAAAGAGGCAAAAAAGATATTTAAAAATGTGTCATGTTGGATATAACATTTAACAATAATCAACGTTGAATTGGACAGGGTCTGAGAAGACTCCATTTACTGTACATGGGTTCAGTCACTGATAAGACAGACAATGGGCTGGCATAGTGGCTCACACCTATAATCCAAGCATTTGGGTGGCTGAGATAGGAGGATCACTCTGAGTTTGAGGACAGCCTGGACTACAGAGTCAGGCACAGGTCAGCCTGGGCTAGAGTGAGTCCTTGCCAGGCAAAGAAAAAAAAGGGACTGTGAGAACAGATGAGTGAAGTGTGTGGGAATATGATGTGTGTATATTCAGTTGAGATCATTTACTAATATGGCACTATTCACAAAGCTAAATATTTGCTCTATGAGTCGGTGACAGGATTATTAAAACCTGGGCAAGCAACATGATTAAGGCAATGAAGTATTTGTGGCACCAGTTCTGATAGATTCACTCAGCTATAACATGTGAATAGAGGGCAGGGCATGGTGACATGTGCCCTTAATCCCAGCACTCCAAAGGCAGAAGCAGGAGGATCTCTGTGAATTCGAGGCCAGCCTGGTCTACAGAGTGAGTTCCAGGACAATTGTCTCAAAAAATGAAACATAACAAAACTAGCAGGATAGAAGCTTCCATCCTCGGTTGTGTGGCAGCATCGTCTAGGGAGCTTTGGTGGCTACTGATTCCGGGGTTTGGTCCTCAGAGTGTCTAACTCACACCATCTCTCAGAGCTTTGGAACCTGACGTTAAAAAAGTCCCCCTTGGTAATTCCACTCACCAGCCAGGTCTGGGAACCTCTGCAGTAGAATCTTACAGTATCTTCCTAGTTCCCAGAGTTCAGCTCAGCACCCAGGTCTTCTTATTTGCATGTCTTGCTTACAGATCACTGTACTAATTATGATCTTCATTTTCTTCTCTTTCTTCATCTTCTTTGGAAGTACTGGGGATCGAACCGAGGGCCTCACATCTGCTAGGCAAATACTCTGCCACTGTACAAGATTCCCAGCCCTGAATTTATTTTCTTAAAGCTCCCTAATTATAAAGGATTCAGTCTCCATAAAACCTAAATCTGCCTCTAACCAGAACCTGCACTAAACTTAGAAACCTACAGCCACGGGGCAAATCCAGCCTTCTGCCTGCTTTTCTATGGCCCACAAGCTAAGAAGAGTTTTGATGTATTTAAATGGTTGAAAAAAAGTCAAGAGGAGTAATACTTCATGACATGTGAAGCTTACATTTTGGTGTCCATAAATAAATCTGTGCTGGCTCCATTCATTCACTTATGTATTTTCTATGGTCGATAAAGGGCCACAGTGGTGGGGTTGGAAAGCTGTAATAAAGATGGTATTACATGCAAAGTTTGAAATATTTACTATCTGGCCTTTTACAAAAAAGGGTTGTGAACCTCTGACTTATAAAATCAAATTATAACATAGACACAACAGGAAAAATGATTTGAAAGATTGCTTTATTTAATAACTTAAAAAAACCTGACAGAATTATTTAATACAACTTACAAAAACTGCCAATTACAGAAGTGAGAAATTTGGTTTATGAAAATTTACCAGTCATTAAATTTAGGCACAACCTTAAAGGAACCGTAGCAGTGTATTGAGCATCAGGTACACTGAGTCATGTCTAGTCTGTAGATTGGAAGCCACAGTTAGTAAACTAATTCAGGATTGGCATAAGTAAAAGTCCTCCAAAGTGGAATTATAGGGAAAATCTTGGAGAACATTTGTAAAAGACATATGCAATTAGATTCACCACTAACCATAAAATAGTATTTCTCTGAATCTGAACTAGGCAAAATATAATGAAATGTTGCTAACGTTACATATCAAAGTTCTACTCTGAGGGTGGATTAGTAAGCCAGTCAGAACAGGCCTACAAACAACATTAAAAACACTAATGATCGGCTGTACTAGGCAAGAATTGTGACAGATCATCGAATTTTGGCAACAAAACAGATTAAAATATTGATTTAGCTGTCACTCTTTACAAAAATATGACAAAATTGTTTGCAGAGCTGCAAGGGACACTGTGAAGGCCTGGGCCTCTGAAAAGACTCAAGGAGGAAGTTTTATAGAGGCGGCCAATGTGGCAGCTGGGCAGCTTGACTGCTGACCCGGCAGTTTCTGGACAGGGCAGACAGCAGGTGGAGAGTGAGACCAAAGGACAGGCCAAGTGGGAAGATCGGCCAGCGAGGCTACCACTGGGTTAGGAGGTCAAAGATAAAAGCGGAAGCTTTGTTATCCAGCTGACTTAGCAGAGCTCATGCTTAGACGGGCCAAAATCAATGGCGGCCCTTCACTGACTCCAGGGCCTGGTACTTTGGGAGGGTTCATGTGGTCACAGCTGGCTGTTTGGCAGGGATCTGATCTGTCCTGTGGGAGAGCATAGTTCCTGTGTTCCAAGATCACCTGGGAATATCCCAACTAGAGTCCAACATTCCCATTTCCCTTCCCTCCCTCCCTTATTCCTTCCTCCCTTCCTTCCCTCCTTCCCTCCCTTATTCCTTCCTACCTTCCTTCCCTCCTTCCTTCCCTTCCTCCCTCCCTTCCTTCCCTCCCTCCTTCCTTTTCTTTTTGCATACCTTCTTGTGATGCCAGAGATCAAACCCAGGCCTTGTGTGGTCCAAGGAAGTACTCTGTCATTGAAGTACACCTCCAGCCCCAACTTTTGCACCTTCACGCTGGAGGAGACCTGGGAGCTGTGAGGGTAAGAGAAGCATAAATGGAGTGATTGAGAGGCAGGTGGGGAAGAGGATGGCAAAGCGGTGTTTTGAGCATCTGCATCCGCTACATGGCAGGCACTTTGCGCATGTTATTTGGTTATATCTCACTTTCCTTCAAATTAATCATTGATCCTGTTTAACCGTGGAAGCAGTGTATGCTCGTTATTCACAGCCAGCAACTGAGAGATGGAGAATTGCAGAATTCCTAGGTGTGGGTGCTAAGGTGTGAATGCAAGTTTGTCTTCCCAACTCACCATGCAGCTCCTGGGGCGCCCCCCTAGCAGAAAAACACCCAGCAGGGAAGCACAGTATCTGCTCTCCTGCTTGAGGGCCACCAAAGCAAGGCTTACCAGTGCTACAAAATAAAAGTGCTCTAAGACCCTTCACTGATTAACAATCGCCTCCAAGGCGGAAGACCGCTTTCTTTACCTATGGCAGCCTTTCTTAAAGCAGCGTTTCTAATTTTGAATGTAGGAAGCGTCCAGCATTCGGTGGCTCTGGGACTTTGCAGAAGCCCCCAGGTTAGCAGCCAACGCCTTCCCTTCCTGCTTGCCCAGTTTTGCTGTTCTGACCGCTCCAGAACTACAGGAGCAGTTCAGCGTCTTTCACCGCAGCCCAATTAGGAAAGTGGTAGCAGTTCTCAGCCCTCCCTCCCCTGGGGGTTTCTTTTCCCCGGGCCATTAGAGTAATGAGTCATGTGATCTTTCCCTTAGGTGATGGGTAGGGGCAAAAACAGTTAGTGAATCTTCAGAGGGATTGTCACAAGCACAGTGAAAACAGCAACTCCCTCCTCCCCCGTGGGGGGATGCACGCTGCACTTGGAAATCCAATGAATCAACTGGCTAGTTTGTAGATATTTCTATTTCCATCATAACTTTTACCTCTTTTGTTCCCCCAGAGTTTAAAATGGCTACTCTTTTCCCGTCACAGACCACTCAGAGAAGCTACCGGAAGAAATTGCAGTCAGTAATGCCACCTTAAAGAATCCTGTCAACTCTAAGTTTAGATTTCCCTTGTAAACCTAGGCCTAATCTCAGATTAAACAAAGCAAATGGCCCCTAAGTAGCCGGTGTCTTTACGACCTCCATGTGTTCATGTGTCCACGAGCTGGCTTCACCCCCAGACAAGCTGTCAGGATAATTTGCAGTTCAGGAAGCTGCCTTCCAACCTAGCAGAGGGAAAAGGGAGACTTATTTCATCTAAACGGCCATTCTGTAATTACAGGATTTGGGTTTTGAGTCACTTCACTTTACATGACCCAGAATTCAACTCAGAAAATTAAAAGAACAGCGTTTTCGATTCTATTTATGAAAGTTAGTGTCTTAGCTGGTGGAGTTAGTAAAGTTGAGGGGAAGGGAGCATGAATTGGGAGGCAAAGTAACACTGTCTTATTCCAGTGCTGTGAAAAACTTCAGTCATATGCTATTACCATTGTAAGAAGTAATACATGTACTTCTAGATTTGTACAGGAGGACATGATAGCCAGAAGGGAACCATGGGGAGAGCTGGACTAGGATTCCAACCAGGGAGACACCCCAGTGGCCTATCAAATCTAAATAAAAGATTGATGATGATTCTGAGTTTAAAATTTAATGTCCTAGCGACCTGTTAAATTTTACATGATGAGGCTCTCTGCTCTGCTGTAAATCAGTAAAATCGATTATGCTCTCATGTCTTTTATAAGACGAAGAGCATGTAGACTTTACTGTGCTTTCTTTGAGATGGGCATCTTTACTTCTTCCGTCATCATCATGTCCTGGAATTTTATTTATGAGAAAATCTTAAGAGCAATTAACATGTATGATACTTCATACATGCCACATTAAAATCCTAGCCTGCTAATCGTCCTTTCTTTTTCCCTATAAATTTCTGATAACCACTGGATTTGCTGAAAGCAATGTGGTAACTGGATATACTCCAAGTCCAGGAAGCAGTTCTCAACTTTTAATTATGTTGAAATGTATCCTCTCCCTGAGAAGGGAGCGTCAGGTGTGGACACGGCTGTGAAGAAACAGTGCGCAGTAATCACAGCTATGCACCTTCCTTGTAAATAAACATTTAGTGTGTGTTGATCCAACACTGTAGTTACCGCGACAGCCTTTCCCCAAAGGCAGGTTACAATTCCCAGGAACCGTCCTTGATGAAGCCCATAGCCCATTTCTCAGATGAGTTAGTAACTGTGGAGAAGGTAAATTAACTTTTTTTTTTTTTTTTGAGTTTCAAGTGGACAGGGAGACCGAGGCTCCTGTAATGCCCTCAGAGGCCATGGTTGACAACATTTATTTCCTGCTGCATTCTGTCATCAGTGTTCCCACTGATCCTTTCCTGCCCTGCTCCCCACCCCAAATCCTCGGTGGGGGAGGGGGCAGATAATTCTGAATAACACCAAAGTAGATACTGCATACCCATGTCACCAAATTGTGTTTCTATAAATGAAAGATGCCACTGCAAAAAAATAAAGCCTCCAATATGACCACAGGTAATCATTAACATATTGCAAAATAAGGAATTTTAATTGACTCATTAACTCACAATTAGACTTTAACAGAAGTAAATTATAAGATCATTATGAAATAATGCTTTATTTTCAGTCAAGAGAAAAATCTAAATTCCTAATTGTATTAGCTTTGTGTGTGTGTTGCTGTTTTAATGCTTGGTCACCAAGGAGTGGTACTATTAGGAGGTGTGGCCTTGTCCTTGTTGGAGGATGTGCATCACTGGGAGTGGGCTAAAGCCAGGCCCAGTGTCTTTTTCTCTTCCTGCTGCCTGCTATTCTGGATGTAGAGCTCTCAGCTACCCCTCCAGCACTGTCTGCCTGTGTGTCACCATGCTTCCCACCATGACGATATTAGATTAAACCTGAAACTGTAAGCCAGCCCCAATTAAATGCTTTCTTTTATAAGAATTGTGATGGCCATGGTGTCTCTTCACAGCAATAGAATATTTGCTAAGACAGTATGATCTAGGTTCAGATGTGTCCAATCTCTTGACACTGTCACACAATATTGTCATCTGCAAAGGTCATGCTCAAGAGCCATACAACAGAGTTATATGTTAAAAAATCTCTCTCTCTCTCTCTCTCTCTCTCTCTCTCTCTCTCTCTCTCTCTCTCTCACACACACACACACACACACACACACAATCTGGTATCATTTTAAGTAAGTTTGTGATTTTGCAATAGACTAGATTCAGAGCTATCTCTTAGTACACACTACCCATAGGCCATGGGTTGGATTTGCCTGGTAGTATGATATTTATGTCTGTAATAGAGATCCCAAAAGTGGGGATTAAAGATAAAAGGACAGACATTTTTATGTCTTACATTGGTTATATTTCAAACCTGCTGCATTCCCATAAAGTATGAAATGAGAATATTGATTTCCTCAGATTTTTTAAAATGCTATATTTAAGTATAAGCTCACTGATGTTCACAAATATTTATGGCATATTCATAAAGCAAAAAAATGAGGAATGTGCACTCACACATGAAAAAATATATCAAATTTCTGTTTAGAAAGTCTCTTAAAAATTAGAAAGCTAAAATTACAGTGGGAGGGATTATTTGCTGCAGATAAGAAAAAAGAAGGTGTGAGGTCCCTGACGCATGTTTCCTTTCCAATTTAATTAGTGTTTAATTTTTCACATTTTTATTTTTACTTTTCTTTCCTTTTTATGAACAGTCCCTGATTTTTTCACCAATTAATATTTTTGTTTATGAGCTGAGAGATGGCTCAGCAGGTGAGGTGCTTACTGCCAAGCCTGACAACCAGGGTTCAATTCCCGGGACCCACATGTTAGGATGAAGAGAACCAACTCTAGCAAGTTGTCCTCTGACCTCCATATTCATGCACCTCCCCCCCCACAAAAATACAAACAAAATCTCAAGACTCTTTGGTCAAGAATAGTCTTGGGAGTATATACTTATTCTAACACAGTATTACCTACTCTTAGTTGTTACACTAAATCAAATTATATTAATATATTTTCCAAAGGTTAAATTCTTTATGAGACTATAAGGCACTATTTTCTCAAGTCATTTTTATATTGCTTCTGATTATTTTATGTAAAATTTAAAAGTAGAGAAATATTTTTCTTTAGACATTGTATTTTTAAGCTTTCTTTCTGCGTGTAGTCATTTGCAGGGATCCCTGAAATGAATCATAACCTTTTGCCTTTCTGTCCCTTTTTGTCCCTGTCTTCCCTCTCCCCTTCCCCCTTCCCTCTCCCCCTTCCCCTCCCCTCCCCTCCCCCTCCCCTCTCCCCCTCCCCCTCCCCCACGCTCTTTTGTCTCCCCACCTCCTCTTCCCTTCTTGCCTCCCCACACTAACAGTCAGTGTGCTTCAAGTTTTTACTTCAAGCTGATATTGATGTAGCAGAAACTCAAAGCAATAGAATTAATATTCTAGAAGATTTCCTAATAGATTTGCTTAGGAGACATTAAATCACACAAAGTAGAAATTCACTAGGGGAATGATACCTCCCATATAGCCCAAGGATACATAGTCTGCTAACCAGGCTGGGTTAGAGATATACTAATATCTGTAACATTTGTTCCCAGGGACTGACTAAAGAACATGACTCTAACAGATCAAAGGGGCAGTGCAGGGTCCCCATCCAAGTTAGGTCCTGGAGTACCACACAGACGGTTCTCTTCTTGAGAAAAGAATACTTCTGCCAGGTGGGCAAGATGACCCTGGGTAACAACTATGGGAAAAGAACAGCACTGGTGCACTTATGAAATAAATCTTTGCTGTGTAAATCTCCCATCTGCCCAAATGATCAAGCTTGCAATCTCCTGTCTCTGTTTGAATTGTTCAAAATGTATCTGGGCTGGGACCTGAATGAGATTTCTCCGTCTGGCTGGTGAATCCTCTGACTCCGCCCATCTTCACAGCATCCTTAGTTTGGTCACCCCACCCATTTTCCCTGTCTGTCTAACAGCCAATCAGCTTTTTATTAACCCAATTTGAGTGACA